AGATAGCCCTTGTTTAGCTTTGTGCATAATTAAAAACAAACAAACATTATTGAGGAATTATTCTATAAAAAGGATAAATAAGTCTGTAATAACCTAACTTTATGCAATAAGTTCTGGTAGTTAATAAGTTTAGCCTAACTAACTATTCTTGTATCCGAGTTTGCTTATCTGTCTGTAATAACCTAACTTTATGCAATAAGTTCTGGTAGTTAATAAGTTTAGCCTAACTAACTATTCTTGTATCCGAGTTTGCTTATCTGTCTGTAATTACCTAACTTTATGCAATAAGGTCTGGTAGTTAATAAGTTTAGCCTAATTAACTATTATTGTATCCGAGTTTGCTTATCTGTCTGTAATTACCTAACTTTATGCAATAAGTTCTGGTAGTTAATAAGTTTAGCCTAACTAACTGTGTCGTCTTACATATTAATATATAAACGTGACTGATGTGTAAGGCTTGACTGTTGAAAGATCGCGGACTATTTGTGCAGACACTCACTCTGTTAAAATAATTTCAATTCGAGTTTCGTAAATCCGCTTGTATTGTGATAGAATGGGTTAATAATCAATGGAAATATGATTAAACTATTAAATATATCTAAAAAAATACAGAATTTAAAAGGTCATTTATTCACTTCCTTTCATGGAATAATAATGTATTGACTTGGTTAAGAACAAATATTTAAATTCCATCAACTTAACTATTTTATCTCGATTATGCAATTACATGCACTTTTTAAATTTACATGTTAGATAATTGCATTAGAATTTGTTGTATCAAGGAGAAATTCGTAAACTTGTTTAAAAAAACTAATATATTATTACTCCTGTAAAATTGTTTTCATTAGCACGATGAAAAAGCGCTTATCCAAAACATAAGATTCAGGACAAAATAATTATTCGGTTAATACAAAAATGAATCCCTTTTTTAATACTGTTCCTTGAGGACAAAAACAATAAATTTTGGAGAATCGAAAATGGTCCCCAATTTAGCACATATCTTGCCAGGTGTAAAAAAAATATATTTTAGTTCTGTTATTTGAATTTCTATTTACCTAAACATTTAAAACTTTTATAATGACACAAGGCTTAGGGGCATTGTTTAAAGTTCTAGTAACAAAAAAGAAAGTGTATTGTTAATTTTAGCTCAATCGTTAATTAGTGAGTCGTGATTATCCAGAATTGAAAATTCTATCATATTTTTATTTGTTCTTCATGTATGTGTATCTTCTAGGTAAAACAAACTTTGCTACACTTAATCTTACATTGATTTGTTTCGTTTTTCTTGCCCATGCTTACACACCGCTTACTAGAATGAAAATCCACATTTCCAAAGCCACTCTACAACAAATTGATCGAATGATGAACACCGATTTAAATCAACTTCACAGTAAACATTAGCGTGTCCGTTTACATTTGAGAATAGATTTATTTATTAATGATTTTTCACGGTTCCAAGTCATCCAGTGTTCTAAGAAGGCTAAAGCTAATGAAGTAGATATCTATAAATAATAAATAAGTACCCTTATTTGTATATCTTATTTGATAAAAGCTGAAATAAATAATAAACGTTATCTTTTCTTGTATAATATTTTCATTAGGTTTGGTTGTAGAGGAGAAATGAAGGGTACACAATTGGCTATCTATGCTTTTCCCGCCACGGATATCGAACCCCGATTTTTAGCATCGTAAGCCCGTCGACTTATCGCTGATCCATTTTCTTATTTACATAAATCCTGAAGTAACTAATAAACTAAAAATACTACCTTAAATATATACTATCTCATAAATTCGGATTTTATTAGGTGATATCAGAAACAAATAATATTTGTTATCTTTATGTTTTTTACGTTGTTGTTTTTTTCATGCAGTGTGCTAACAGTTTTAAAGCCATTCATTTAAGTGAAAAAGAAACAAATAAAGATTCAGTAAATGATTTCCCCAGTGGCTTAGCGGTAAGTCGAAAGGCTTATAACATTAAAAACCAGGTTTCAATACCTGTGGTGAACACAGCAAAAGATAACCTATTGTGTAACTTTGTGCTCAACAAGAAACAAAGACTCAATAAATGTATGTATATTAAACGAACAATAACTAACGCATGTAACAAATGTTACAGAACTCTGTTTCATGATGTTTGTAAATATGGTTTGTTTAACTGTTCACTCCCTCTGGTGCTAATAAAACATGTAGCTCTTTATTAATAACTCGCCAACTTTTTTACTCATTTTACCTATTTTGAATCCAAGTCTGTAATGAGAACCCATCGATTCTCCTACTCCTTTCCTAGTGACGTCTATTTGAGTTATCTTTGTATGACCCCTTTTTGTAGGTATCCGAAGTATTAGACGACACTCATTATAATTATCGAACGATGTTTCTATATATTGGTATCTTCTACAACATAAAACTGGGAATTGTTCACTTAGAATAATATCTTAACAATGTCATTAAGAGATATAAAAACTCCGTGTTCTTAAAGATATCGGTAACTGCAATTCCTGATGATAATAAAAAATGTAGGAGTAATTATTCCCGTTTTTCTTATATGTTAAATTGCGATAAGCGCTCTTGGTCTAGGGGGAAGTTCGAGATCATTTTCTGTGATTTCGCGACTAAATTGACTTAAGTATATATGTTTGTCTTTTGATAGCAAATGCTCTTGTTCACTCTTAGCTTGCTATTTAAAATGACTTTCTGCTTTAAGAAATACTACAGATACTTTAGGCATATTTCTGCTCATTCTCGTACAAATTATATATATTCTCTCTCTCCGATGAATCAGTGATAAGATTGATGGATTATAATACTAACATTCAAGGTTCGATCACTGTGATAGGCACGACACATATATATTAACTTGCAGCTTTGTGCTTAATTAAATAAACATATTCGCCTACAAACAGATGGCGCTCTGCGCCTTACCCTTTCTTATAGTTAGTGATTATGGAGAGAGCTACTGGTAACTTTTGTTTTGATGTTTGTCAACTAGTCTAAATTATATTTCTAAGTGGCTGAATTACTATTAGTGATATTCATGTACTGTTATGTTTTCTTTGGTTTTAGTTTTTAAGCTGTTTTATTCTTCAAGTAATAAATAATAATCGCTTGTTATAATGTAACTTTCATGAGTTAGGCTTCTAAACTGTATTTGTAAAAAAAAATAACAAATACGTTAACATAAAACGTATTATTATTATTATTAATTTTGAATGTTTCATAATGCACACACACACACACACACACCGAAGACCAAAAGCTTAATTTGTCTTCTCAAAAATGTATCTTCAAATATTTCACTTGGCTGTGTTGTTTTCTTAGTGCAAAGTTACACAATGGGCTATCTGCTCTCTATCCACTACGGTGAATCAAACACTGGATTTTAGCATTACAAGTTCGTAAACTTACCGCTGATCCAATAAGGGGCCTCGCCTGTTAAAATTGAATTCCAATTATTGAAATGTGCATGAGGAAGATGTAATGAAATAATCGTTCATAAATATATAATATAGCTTTATGTGATTAATTCAGCATTTTCTCAAAAGTTCCCTTGAAAAGATTAAATATTATTATATTTTCAACTTATTTTTATATTTATAGAACAAAAAAATATAGGCACATGTACACTGATCGAAATGACTCAAGGCATGTTTCACTGAGCGGACGTTCCTAAAAGAACCGGGACTAAAGTGAACAAGCACTGGGACAAGTTTTTCCTAACGAACCTGACTCAGCTAGAAAATCTGGTATAAGCAACGAGGAGAGGTTGCTTGATAAAAATGCCTACGACGCCTCACTACCCACAAGAATTGGTTCATCCGCGTGTAGTGTTAATTACTAGAAAATAGTCCTCTAACATCTTTCAGATATCTATTCAGCCTTTCTTATAAAGTAATTTTATCTCGATGTATATGATAAAAAGTATTAATCGTATTATGAGAAATACGCATCTACTCTTATTTTACGTAAGTTAACAATATTCATAAATTTTGCGGAGTGATTTGGCTTTTTTTTATGTTACAGATGGATCCCGCTTTGAACTATAGAGAATAATAGTTTGTATAGGTGATAAGACCACGTTGTCATAACCCCTCTTTAATAAACTCAACCTGCCTCAGTTAAAGCACGTGCTCTCCAGGACGTCAACAAGCACTAGCATGCGATTTTGGGTGGGACAATTCGAGGTATATGATAATAATGTAACGAAGTTCGGTACTTGCAAATCGACTTAGACAGTATGGCAGCGCCAGCGCAGGCACTGGTGAATCGTACAGAGCAGAAAAGGGGTGGTATAAACCGTAGTGGAAATAGAGCTGTAACGAACGGGGCTTCACTTGAAGAACTTCGACATTCTAAAGAAATTGCAGGTAACTTAATAATGAACAACAGAATCAAGTCACCAAATGGAAATGGAGAAAACCAAAACAGAGGAATGACAATGGAAAACTTTCAAGATGGAGGTAAGCCTAGACAAGCTAGTGGCTCTAGTAATATTGAACAAACACTTTTTAACTCAAGCCTGGAAAGATCACAGGTCAATTTAGAGTTTCAGGGGTACATTCAGAATTCTAGTGATTTCGTTTTATCAAATGATGAGTATAGGAATGTTCAAGATAATGTAAATCATGTGGCTGTTGGTAGTTTTGTTGGAAGCTGTGTTGACCGTAACAGTAGTACTAGTAACTACGCACAACACAAGCAACATGGCGGTGCAGGGATTTCAGAAAGCAGTGGTGATATAAATCCGCAGCCAAATAAACTTTTCCAGCAAATTAACCAACAGCAGTCTAGGATAGGATTTTCTCATTCGTCTCGATTAATGAACATGAGCCCTACTCATTCGTCAGGACCGGTATCAAGTGCCTCAGCAATGGGTAGTTATTCTAGCAATGCCTCTCAACAACAACATCGTTTCCGCTCGGCTTCAAGTCAAAGTATAATCCAACAAGGTGGTACAACCCCTACCTTAAATCAGTTATTACAGGCTCCTAACTTTATGCAGCATTATCAAAATAGATATGAAGATTTTGACAGTATTCAAACAGGTCCGAAAGGAGTTGGGGAAATCGAAAACATATCTGAAACCCAGTACACTGGACCTGGCAACAGCAATAATTCCCAAGCCAGTCATCTCGTTTGGAGCAGTACAAGAAGCATGAGCCCCTATCAGCAAATGTCCAATACACTGTATATCAATAGAAATCAGGTAATAAGTAAATACTTTTAAAGTTTAACAGTAAATATATTTAATGACCTGATAAGGTAATGATTAACATGAAATGAAACTAAAAAAAATTATAAGGCTGATTTTTTCATATGCGTACGATTCTGTTGGTATTTAAGCTGTAATGGCCTGTTATTTTGTTATTGGTTTTATAATTAAGGCCAACACGTTTTTTAAGTATTTGATTAAACTGAGAAATACCCACAGCTAATTTATATAAAAAATATTTTTTGAAGCGGTACGATTACTTCAAAGTTGCAGGGAATACGAAGTGTGTGTACAACAACATAGATATCTGTTTGTTTATGTGATCAAGAGTGTATGTATATACGACACAAACAACTTATGCTGTTGTTCTAGCTGGTGACGTTTGGACCTCGGTTAAGGAACACAGCATTGTTAAAAATACGGATTTGTGTAGGTACGGTTTTCTATCTCAACTTGTTACAGGCTTCTGACTGAAACTTCGCGAAATAGCGGAGAGAGATAACAGCGTTTTTATTTTGAAATGGTTTACTTTTTTAAGACAACAAGTTACACGTGAAAATGTGTTAAGGAAATATACAAGATTTTCATTTATTTTTGACTATTTGGATTGTTATTTCAGTAGTTGTTATCTTTCATCATTTTTAGAAATTAATATATTTCAGTTGAAGTTTAAATATTTTTGCAGAATATACCTTAGGTTAAAATCTTAACAGGTGATACTTTATGTGTTAAGTATGTTTGAAGGATTGTGTGACTTTAATGTACATGTTTATGTGCAGATATCTCGTATCGAAGCCTATCGCCGTCTGTTTATGTGTTTACGAAAATAAACTAATACGTTTCAGTTGTATTTTCATATTTGATTAGTAGCGTTTGTCAAAGTTAGACTGATTATTTATCTTAACAGCTAATATAACAGGTAGGGAAACAACGATTTATAAGCAGGAAGATTTTTTATTGATGGTGACACATAATTTACGTCATACTTAATTCTTATGTCTTTGTAACTGTATCTAAACCTTGTATTACTTAGCAGAAGACAGCACAATGTTTTTTAGAAACATGTAGTATGTTCCACCATCAATTAATCTCTTTCTCCTGCTTATAGATTGTTGTTTGCTTACCTATTATTATATTAGTATAACATGCTTCCTTACTAAAATGTTATGTCATATATATTCCTAGTTTGAGGAAATTAAATAAAAAATGTTGGCACTGCATTATTAATGATTAAATGTAAGCAGATAATGTTGCATTACTAAACTAGTAAATATTACATTGTGTTTTTTACCGTATGAATTTAATGTAAGAATTGTTACGATTGTTTTTGTTACTCAGCTGATGAGTTCAATGTAGCTAACACATGTGGGAGGGTCACTAGAAAGTCACGTGCTTGTTAGTGAGTGAGCTTGGCCTCCAGCTAAGAAATTTAAATTTTGGAGGCAAAAACTGAGTCTCGACTGACAGCTTGGAACTCTGACGAAAGAAGCACAATGATTGGTTGGGAGCAGCTTACGGATTCGCAGTTAATCACGTTGATCTGCCCAGCTCTCGTCTATCCGTTATCATTGTAATTTGATCACAAGCAGGGCACGGGACGTACCAAGTTCGTAGGGGGTGGTAACATGAGAAAATAATGAAAGATTATTATTTTTTGTTGTTTGTAACTAGGTAAGTGATCTGTTCAATGATGAACCACGTGATTTAAATAATTGATTTCTATATAGAATCTGTGTTGAAATGGGAGCCATCTTTAAATATATATATTTATCAAGATGCGTATGGAGTTTAAAAGTGATATATATATATATATATATATATATACTTTATTTTTATGACATTTTTACTTGTTTCATGATATGAACCCCAGAGAAAATACCAGTGTACATTATATTAGAGCACAAAATAGCAAGAGTGGCCAAAACGTCGTGTTCACAAAATTTGCTAGAGTCAAGTTAGTTAACTAATTTTTTGAACTTCATTCTTTCATTGCCATTATCTATTTTCATTGTTTGCAGTGATACAAAGTACGAACGATTTTTGTTCGGTTAGCAGTGGGTATTACACAACTACAGTTCGTTATTATACAACTGTATTAGTTATCACCGAAATCACAAGTTGAAGAGATTGTGTTATGAGATGTTTTATGAATACTATAAGCGCAACGTATGTGTTCATTATTCAGATAAAACTTGCACGTATTCTTTTTTTTAGTCTGAAGTTACAAAAGCAGAACTTTTGTAAACAGACAATTTCGCTTCAGAGTAGTGTTAAATTGGTATTTAATAATTAAGTTTTGTACTGAGCACTTGTGTATACTATTTTATATACTTGGTTGTCTTTACTTGCATAAAGACGAGGCTATATATAGTAGTAATGACGTTGAGTATGTTATATTAAAACGATTTTGGAGCTTCACCACGTCGTCACAGCCCATGTCGCCATGTCCGGTCCTGCACCATCTGACTACCGTGCATCTTGAAAATAGTCCTGCAGCGTAGTTTCCATTGCAGAAGGCTCTTTTGTAAGGCTATCATTTTCAAAGTATACCCATTGCATAATCCATATAGGGTATGAAGACGACGGTTTCCAAGTGCCCACTTTGTATGGAATAACATGAATAGCAGTTTCATTCTCCAGCTGTTTGAGGTATGCGACGGTTTAAAGGATGTGTCGTGGAAGCAACTCGTGTACACGTGACTTGTGTCGATTTTCCAGACGTGGAAACCCATCTTACTTATGATGCGTACTGTTGCCTGGGTCACGTGGATGGCTTTTGCCACTGACCTATGTGTTCATGGATTCTCACCTGTTATAAGACGCTACACTTTGCTTACCACAGTTGGAGAACGATTTGGTGCAAGTCTCTTTCTGGATGACCCTGATTCACCAAATTGATCCATATTCCGTTGTTTTCCATAAATACAAGGATATCTCCAGCTTGTAAATTCTAATTCCTCGATATGAACACATATTTAAGATCTGAGCGTACGAATATTTTGCATCAGAAAGGGCATATCCTTCCCCAAAGCGATAAATTTTTGGTGGCATTATGCTGCCTCTGCCTACACAACGCTAAATAATGTTGAAATGTAGTTCTGATACATTCAGTTCCACCGCGACATTATATCAGTTATGGTTGCCATATGACTTGCTGATTTGCATATGCAAAATCATTTTAATATAACGTACTCAACCGTCTGTTACAAAGTTTCGTAGAGCGTTTCTGGCTGTTAAAATCATTTAAAACTAAAAATGTAAAAAAAATCACCGATAAAATGTTCTAAAACTGGCGTATAGTATAAGACTGAATTATTCACTTTCTGAAATATATACTGATTTCTTAATTTTTTTTTACAGTAGTGAAGTAAGTTAAGAAGGGAGTTATTTAAAGTTTTTGTTAAGTTACTCGGCCAGTTAAGTTTTAAAATTTAACATTAAATAATATACCCCTTGGTAGAGACAAAAATCAGCATTGTATAAACAGGATAAAAGTAGTCGAGTTTTAAACTCTTTTAATTCTCTGTAGTCTGAGCGACGATCTCTTAAGTTTTTTCCCGATCTATAATCTAGTTTTATGACTGTAAGAAGAATAACGTGAAACAGCGCACGGGAACAGGCAAGCAGCGATCGAACACTCTATTCCCAGTCTTGCCGCATTAGAGGTGACTTTCCCGAACCATGCAATGGTTGGCGCTGATGTAAATGGCATTGGCATAGCTTCCATCTTTCTTCTCCACTATTTTAGCGTTAGCAACCCGGCAGGCTTGTGTCTCACCAACACATACCCTCACGTCACAGCTACAATTACCCGGACCTGGTCCGCTGCTTTCATGGCTTGTGTTTTCCTGCCTACCACCGAGCTTCCTAAGTAATCTTGCCGCTGGCCTCTTTCTTCGTCACTCTGTTATTTTTCTCCTTTACTTGATGCAGTTGTTCGTCATGCTCGTGCAGAGTAACTTTATTCAGGCCGTTACGCTTGAGAAATAAGTTGACGTACTGGATTTGTGATTATGTTTTTTTTTCCGGTTTTGTGCTATGCAAATTGTGATTAACAAGTAAAATGAACACACCTAATAACTTATTCGTTGTTTAAAAAAATAACTTTCATAACTTTAAGAAATACATTTCTGTCAAACTGAAAACCATATTTATAGTCGATGTCGCCAAACGAAATAGTTTCAAAATAAAATGGTTTTTGATTCATGGTTTCATCTACGTAAGAATTATGTGTCTTATAAGCTCAACTTTCACTTGACGCAAACATGCGTTTAACTGATTCATCTAAACGTTTCCTGAAGTACTTGGTTGGCGAGTCTGTTTTGTGAATAGCAGAAAGTCCTAGTTTACAAGACAGTCTGTTTGTGTTTAATTAGTTTTCTTACGTAAGGGTTTCTTTGTGGATTTTTGTTTTGGATTTTCTAATTAATGTTGATTCAAAGATACGTATGTTAGAGAAAAACGTTATCTGTCAGTGTCAGCTCCGTGAGATCGGATTTTAGCTTTTGCGTTTGAATTCGCCCTCTATTCAGTAATATTTAATCTTTATGCACATAAGCGTGGAGTGTTCGCAATAATTACGGCGCTTGGGAGGTTGAGTTACTATTTAAACACAAAATTGCGTGCGATATCATAAAGAGCTATCAGTTTCTGAAGTATTAGTTTTATACTAACTGTAGATGCTCTAAAACATCATCTCTGTATTCACAAATCACGATGATGATTGGCTGACGCGATTTTTATTTTGCGTCAGGTAGCGATGGTCACGTGATCGAAGTAATGGATGTGTAAAACGATTGTCACGAAACTAAAGCCGAGAGTTTTGTTAAGAATAGTTGTCCATTATTTTTTACTCAAAGTGTTCTTACATCTATTTCAATACATTGATTTCAAACTTCTTACTATCTCAGCAATAAACGAAATATCTTGAGTGCAACAGAATATTTTAAAAATCTGTGTATTAAAGCATAAAATTATGCATTTTATTCATCATT